CCTCATTCATTTTCTTTCCGTTTTACTGATTTTAATCACTATACGCTGCTCTCTCTCGTCTCCTCTTCACAACTACACTTTTCACGGCACACATACGTACAGCCAATCAGCTCTCTGAATTATGAGATGACGTTTTGGTGGGGTTGCAAGCACCTTGCCCCACTTGTGATTATGTGTTGCCGCACACATTGAATTCAAAAAGACTGGGCAGTTTAGTTTTCACAGTACCCATTCATTTCGCTCAACCCGGCTCAATAGGCACACTGTAGACACTAATTAGAAGAACGCAGACTAAAACAGCAATGTACAGACGAATCAGACAACTAAACATGATCTTAAAATATATTTTAACATATATGTTATACATATTTTTGGAATTATTATTATAATTAATTTCTGCTGACCGTAGGTGGTGCTGTGCCTGCCCCTAATGACGAGTCGCCACTGAAAACAAGTAATACTTAAATTCATAACATTAAAAAATATACAGATTATGTTGACCGTGAACAGGTCAACATAACTCAAAAGAGAAAACTAAAAACAACATAAATGATTACAAATAATTTAAATTGAAGTGAAATTGTCAAAAGGCACAAACAATGGGTGCTTCTCAATGTCAAGAGTCGCTTTCACACCAAGTACTTTGCCGTACTAAGTTCCCAGCACCAGTGGCGGCTGGTGGAAAATATCTTTGGTGAGGCTATGGAAATAGGGACCAAACCATACTAGGGCGGTCCGGAAGAAATTTTTGAGAAATGAGATGACCCCTTCAATTATGACTTCTGGTGATGTTAGAGGGGGGGGGGGGGGGGGGGGGGGGGACAAATTGAGGTTTAAAAATATGAGATAATCCATAATCTTCCAAAACTGTGCAACAGTACAGTAGGCCCACACAAACTGCAGAACACTGGTGCTTTGGGAACACTCAAATGATTTAATTCCCATTTAAAATCAGGAGACTAAATACGAACATTATTCGGGAGACTCCCGATTTCATTGCCCTCTCCCGGTTTCCTCCCGGGGTCATATTTCTCCTGCATTTCTCCCGATTTCTGACAAAATCAGATTTACTCAAGACTGTTTCCACTTGGACTTTAATACAGCTACACCATTGTTTGGTTTCCATGGTAGCGTGTCTCTTTAGCAGCGAGCGCAAGTTTGAGAGGGTGATGAAGATGAAAACTGAACAAGAATCGACAACTCGACCCTCTGCTCACTCCTTTCCTGTAAAATACAGCTCCAGCCCACAAATACAGTATGCTCCATGGTGCTACAGGCATTGCCCTTACAACTACAATAAGCATGTAAATGTTAATCTACAGCTCCGGCGATCCACTAGCACCGGAGTCTCCACCTGCAGACGCAGCCATCCTTGGATACGAGTCCAAACAACTCACAGACACACAGGCCAAGGTGCTGACAGGGCGCCCTTTGAGCATCAGATCTGACAACGCTGATTGGCTGAAATTATGTTTCGGCGGCATAGTATACATATAGCAACAGTCAGCTTGTTGGCTGCTGCTGCTCTGGCTGAGGGCTCCTTTCTACCGCCCGGACGAGAGAGGGTAATGATACACGCTGCGGCCAGGCAGGAAACATGTGACTTATCAGTAACTTTAGACATCGTATAACAATTTTAAACGAGATTTTATTGTAGATTATACATTTTACTGATACCAACTATATAATATGTACCTTGTTCATAAAAAAAAAAAAAAAAGATTGTCATTTTTTAATGACAATCAAACATGTGGGAAGAGGGGGGGCGGCGCCCCTATGGGCCGGCCGCCACTGCCCAGCACTTAGTTCCCCCATGGAACTAAAGAGCAGATCGCGTTCACACCGGAATAAGTCCCTGAGGGAAGATTACGCAAATGAAGCCGCTGACGTCACTTCTTCTTCTTCTTCTTCTGCTTTGGTTTACTGGCAGGCCGCAAACAACTTCACAGCGTATACTGGGTGTTTCTCAATGTCGAGTAAAGCTGCTCCAGAGCCACTGTTTCAAGCATACTACGTCATCGAGTGCCGCCGAAGGACTGTTCCAATGTCCAGCATACTTGGAATTCTACCGAGCCCGGCGTACTTCGTAGCGAGACATTTCGAGGCTGCACATGTGTCTTAAAATCCCCCACAATGCTACGTAAAGCTGCTCCAGAGCCACTATTTCAAGCATACTACGTCATCGAGTGCCGCCGAAGGACTGTTCCAATGTCCAGCATACTTGGAATTCTACCGAGCCCGGCGTACTTCGTAGCGAGACATTTCGAGGCTGCACATGTGTCTTAAAATCCCCCACAATGCTACGTAAAGCTGCTCCAGAGCCACTATTTCAAGCATACTACGTCATCGAGTGCCGCTGAAGGACTGTTCCAATGTCCAGCATACTTGGAATTCTACCGAGCCCGGCGTACTTCGTAGCAAGACATTTCGAGGCTGCACATGTGTCTTAAAATCCCCACAATGCTTTGCGTTGACCAATTTCCGAAATCTTTGGCGGAAAATGTAAGACGGGGCCTCTCATATGACGCACACCTGCACAGCCTGTTCCATACTTCGTTTTCCCAGGCTAGGAGGTATTCTTGCCTCGCTTCTTAATGAACTCACTCGGAGGTACATGTGCTACCAAGCAAGCCTCCTCAACATTGAGGAACACCCCCGTAGTGGTAAAATGCTAACTCACTTCCGGGTTTTAGGACTCGTCACTGCACCACTCTATTGTGATTCACAATGGACAGAGCCAATCCCGTCACGGCTTCTCTCCAAACCCGCTCCCCTCACCATGTTGACTGACAGTGGACCTGTCACGAGCATTGGTGTATTAAAGGTCTCCTATCATGCTAAATGCACCTTTTGATGTATTTTATACATACATATGTGTCCCCGGTCTGTAAAAACCTCTCTCTTTTCCTCTGTACCCAAATCTCTAAAAACGGGGGTACAACGGAGCTGATCCAGATTTGCTGCTGATATGACGTAATATCGGAAATGTGGGCTGGCTTTATTTTCCTGTTTGACAGCCATAGAACCTATTTTTACAACCGTCGTTTTGGCGTCAACTTTTAGATTAAGGTTTTACAATAACCAAGATTATTATGTCCAACTGTAATTTGTCCTTGAGAGTTTGTATTGTTTAATATAGACACCTAAATAATCAACCCAGTCTCACGGCATTACGTGTTATAGTCACGAAATAAATGTAATGTATTGATCCGTGTTCACCAACACGATTTTCCCATTTTTTTCACGTCACACAGAACGATTTAAAGCAAGGTATTTGTATTGGTAGTGTTTCGTGCCTGCAGCACGTCTTTTTGTCCGTTCGGGTCTTGGAATACCGGAAGCTGTGTGGTTCATAAAAACATTTTCTTACTCAATATCAAGCCACGATTATTGTTTTTATGTTAAATTGTATAATGTCAGACTTTTTTTGCCGTCCGTGAGGAAAATAAATGGGGCTCACAGCCTCAGAATACTGAAATCTGTATTTTTAAAATCTTTTTTTCCTTCTAATTTGTTTTTATTTGGTGCAGGCATGAAACATACTACCAATACAAATGCATTGCTTTTACAATCGTTCTGTGTCAGAATACTGAAATCTGTATTTCTAAAAATGTTTTTTACCTTCTAATTTGTTATTATTTACATTGCTTTTAAAATCGTTCTGTGTGACACGAAAAAAAATGGGAAAATCGTGTTGGTGAACACGAATCAATAGATTACATTTCGTGACTATAACACGAAATGCCGTGATACTGGGTTGAAATATAAAATATGATATGTTATAAAGTATCTTCTGTATATAAGAATATAATTTACTTTACAGTGTAAATATGAACATTATATTTTTATAGTATGTGTAGATTAACATGTATAAATAACTCACAGTGTTATTCACTTTGCAGTATAATTTGCTCAAACTTGATATTTTACTTTAGCGCTAACCCTAAAAGCAATAAAGCAGTGGGAGATGCAGAATGGATGGCCCGGCTGAAGGCCTTTGCCAGTTCTGGGGTTTGGCCTCCAGGAGGAAATAAACCAGATCAAAGGCAACGGAAGTGGCGTGACCTATATCAGGTAAATTATAGCAACAAATCTATTATTACTTAGAAATTATACGTTTATTACTGAAAATGGACAAAATATTATCAATCAAATGATTAACACTGAATGACTCACTCCAGACTAGAACATTATTATGAACATTTCAGATTGAGAAATGCCCCATGAGTACAGCAGGTATACAGGCACTATATTATCACAGTTTTATTGTGTCCGCTCCTGGTCACAGCCCTTTGTAAACTATTGAATCTAGCAGGGTCTATTTGTAATGCTTGTGATACGACCAGTGACGTCAGACCGATTACACTAATTTAACAATTATGTATCTAATGTAACATTTGATGTGTGATTTCATTCCAAATTATTCAATCAAGAATTTTAAAGAATACCTTTATTTATTTTTTAGTTTAGGTTTTTCCCCTACAAACGTTAATCATATTAATAATACTATCACAATTCACTGCGGTATAATGACTGTCATAATAGGTTTTTAATTGACTTGTTCATAACTGCTAACATGAAGAAAAAAAAATTCAATCACCCCAGATGGGACTCGAACCCACAATCCCTGGCTTAGGAGGCCAGTGCCTTATCCATTAGGCCACTGGGGCTGCTTGCGGAAGGGTTTTGTACACTTTAATTTACTCCGATGTTATCTATCTTGGATTAATCCAAAAAAGGATAATTTTGTCATATTTACCTGATATCGCAAGTTATTTTCACTCACATATCAAAAAAACTGGCAATCCCCTTAGTAATCGACACTTAACAGATCATCTTGTTTAAATCATTGATAACGGCGGTTTATATATAAAGACCTTCTTTGATCAGTGATTGCCTCAAAAGCAATCAAATATGTTTACATTTAGATAAAACCATTATTGAAGTCAATGAACCATTTTAGGGTCAAATGTTTTTTCTAATATGTTAACGAAGTTTACTGAAACTCCCTTTCATGATGACTGCTGACAGCTCTCTCCAAGCAGGAACAAGCCTCAGTTGTTTTTCCACCGTAGGAATGGTAGCGATAGCAGGTTAGCTCTTCGGGCATCAGCTGTAGGATTAATTTACTTGTTAACGTTCCTTACATTTCTGTTTTCCTGTTAGATAATGAATTTACTGCCATCTAATCCTCACGGGAATGGGCTCCTCTATGCTGGATTTAACCAGGATCATGGTAAGAAGCGGGGCTGTCACTTATTTTATTTCAACTGGAAATTGGAAGTGTCGTAGATGCTAAGCTAAAGTTGCTAAATTAAGCTTAGCATGATCTAACGACACATTTGAAATGCTCGTGAGGTTACCGTTAACGCTGCTATGTAGTGGTTACATTGTATCTCCAGAAACGGTAACTTGAATGTACCAAACGTTACCTTAGTGTTAGTTTTGCTGGCCAATTACGTCAGTTAGCCAGCTAACTTAGCTAGCTTTTTGGTTTTCAGCCAAATTAATCAGCTAACCCTAATTCAGACATTAACACGTGCTCCCTCAATAAGAACAGTATGTTGAAAGTTAAAATTGTCAATGTAGCTAATTTTAACTTAAAAGCTAAAGCGCCTGTTAAATATCACAATACAAGCAGAGCCCTGGTTACCACACCTAGCGCTGGTTAGCTAGCTAACAGGATGTGCGGTTAGCTTCACAGTTATTACCGTGTGACTGGGCTCATTTTGTGTTTGCTTCTGCCAAGTCTTTTAAAAGAAGGATAGTTTCAGAAGTAAATGTTATGTCAACCCCGTCCGTAGTTAAACTCATAACTGTTTACATGTATATCTCCCACCATCACTACACATTTTGACAGGCCGTAAAGTAAACGTATTCGTTTATATACATGTAACATTAACATCATTTTAGTAATTGACTGTTGCCAACTAGACTCTCCAGTTACGTTAGTGTGATGTTATCAAGGCAAAGTGACCAAAGACCCAAGTCATCTCTCCAACATTTTACATCACTGTCATCATATGTCCAATAACGGTGTGCCATGAACTGCACCAAAGTTAATGATTTGTTAATCATTGCTCCGTCAGCTCTTTTACCACTGTAATGCTGTCCTCATTCTGTGTGTTGTCATTACTGTTAAGGTTCAAATATATTTGAATAATGTTATCCTCAGTGTAGATGTCTCATCTCTTTGTGTGTTTGCAGGATGCTTTGCCTGCGGGATGGAGAACGGGTTCCGTGTGTACAACACAGATCCTCTTAAAGAGAAGGAGAAACAAGGTACCAGCTCTGCAGACTCAAACGTTTGTGTCTTTCGAACGTATTTCAAATTGGTCACGTGTTTTGTTTGGGTGTGCACCCCTAACTGTTCATTGAGCAGTTTGTGTAGTTACAGCACATTGCTAATTAAGGCTTTTCTATAGTTCAGACTGATTGTAATCACTGGTGATGTGAGCTATATGCTGCTCTCTCTCCTCTTCACAACTACACTTTCCGCGGCACACATACTTACAGCCAATCAGCTCTGAATTATGAGATGACGTTTTGGTGGGGTTGCAAGTACTTTGCCCCACTGGTGATAATTATTTTGCCGCACACACTGAATACAAAAATACTAGTTTTCACAGTACACGTTCAGTTTGACAGCAGAGAGAGGGGCAGATCGGAGCTTGCCCCACATCGCTCAACACGGCTCAATAGGCACACTGTAGACACTAATTAGAAGAACGCAGACTAAAACAGCAATGTACAGACAAATCAGACAACTAAACAGGATCTTAACATATTTTTTATACATATTTTTGGAATTATTATTTTTATTATTTTCTGCTGACCGTAGGTGGGGCTGTGCCTGCCCCTAATGACGAGTCGCCACTGAATGTAACTGTCATGAAGGAATAATGTGCCGTAGACTGGCTGATGACTGCAGGAATATTCTTCAAACCAACCAACTCAGCTTGTTGAACAATGTTGAAACACGGAGTGATAAAAGAGGAAGATTCTCCCCAACAGGACTCAAATGTGATTTAGCACATGGCATTCTCCAGTTTTTCCTAAAGCGGCAAATACTCGATGGACCAAATCTGTTTATTAAATCATTTTTTCACTGACTTGATCCAGTTCTTTGAGCAGAGTCTTTACAGCCTGTTGAAGCAGTTCGCTCGACGTGTGCTGCACATAGGGGGGAGATATTTTTAACTGATGTGCTCTCCCAATTACATTGACTTTCAGAGTTCCTGGAGGGGGGGGTCGGCCATGTGGAGATGCTGTTCAGGTGTAACTATTTAGCACTAGTGGGAGGAGGGAAGAAGCCAAAGTACCCAACCAACAAAGGTAGGTTTTGTCTTGTGATCTTTTTATACTGGACTTTATGCCGGTGTTGGTTCTGACAAATAATGGAATGTAGTTTCATTTGCAGGTAAAGTTAATTCCTACTTTACTTTTTCAAAGTCAGAGACATTTTCTCTTGCTTGCTCCTCTGACTAAAACCTACATTGAACTTATTAATTTGAATAATGAAATATTTTTCTCATGCTGTCTTTCTGAATATACCTTTATTCCCCCTCTGTCTGCTGTAAATGCATTAGGAGAAAACTTGTGAATGTAGCTCTTCAGCCATTGGTGTTGATCTCATATATTCTAACAGCCTGCATGGCTTGTTGAGTTTTTTTTTCACAGGTTCCCTTTTAAGTTCATTTATAATTTGTTAATTAGGTAATCCAACAAATCGATGCTCTGCTGATTATCCAGGTTTAATTTAAATTAATTGTTAATTGAATTAATAATATGATTAGTAATTATACAGCCAGTAAGTACTAAGACATGTGATCTAATGACACATCCTGCTAGGTAATGTCATCCTTACTGGTTTGATATCATTATCATACTTTGGCCAGTGTGATAATATATTCAATTGACCAACTAGCATACACTTTATTCATGGGATTTTCTTTGGTACTCTAGTGATGATCTGGGATGACCTGAAGAAGAAGACAGTAATTGAGATTGAGTTCTCAACAGAAGTGAAAGCAGTGAAGCTTCGGCGTGACAGGTAAAGCTGCTGGACCTGTCCACTGAAAGTCTTCTGTCATTGCTTTGGGGACATTTATTTCAGCAACACCATGGCAGCATTAGTATTACACTTGTTATGCTGTTTGAGTGAAGTCTTCACATGAGTTAAACTGGCAGCTTGTGTGTTGGTTCTCCTCGGCTCTCAGGATCGTGGTGGTCCTGGACTCAATGATCAAAGTCTTCACTTTTACCCACAACCCCCATCAGCTGCATGTGTTCGAGACCTGCTATAATCCCAAAGGTGAGCCCACTGATTTAAGACGCTAGCCATCCGGCTTTCCATTTAAAGAGTGTGTATAAATGTGGCGCGTACTATAACCAACCTGTTCCCCCCCAGGTCTGTGTGTGCTGTGTCCCAACAGCAACAACTCCCTGCTGGCCTTCCCTGGCACTCACTCAGGCCACGTGCAGATAGTGGACCTGGCCAACACAGAGAAGCCCCCGGTGGACATCCCTGCCCACGAGGGGGCGCTGTGCTGCATTGCTCTAAATCTGCAGGGCACAAGGATAGCTACTGCATCAGAAAAAGTAAGCCAAGCTAGCAATAAGGGAATTTAAATGTTCAGTGTTTGTGTTTTTAGTGTTGTTGCTGCTTTGTGACAGATCCGTGTTGTGTCCACAGGGGACTCTGATCAGGATCTTTGACACATCTGCAGGACAGCTCATACAGGAGCTGAGGCGTGGCTCTCAGGCAGCTAACATCTACTGGTGAGCATTGACCAATAATACTGTTCACATCTTCCCCTCAAAGCATTCACTGTAGCCTCTCTCTCTCCTGTTTTTACCCATTACTCTATTTGTGTAATGTGTTTGTTTGATAGATATGTTTTTCATTTGCAAAACAAAATGCATTAGTTTGTAGATGGTGTTTTGTATTTGCAAACCACACTTTGTCTGTCGGTTTGTAAAACATTTTTGTTTGTGGAGTTTTGTCAGGAAGTTATTTCCATATGTTTTGTTTTCAATGTAGTAGTTAGCAGAGGTGTCAAATTGGTGACTCGAGTCAGACTCGAGTCACCAATTTGATGACTTGAGACTCGACTTGACAAAATCACAAAACATTTGCGACTCGACTTGGACTTGAACACCAATGACTCGGGACTTGACTTGGACTTGAGCCTTCTGACTTGAGGTGACTTGCTACTTTAATTCAGAGGTCTCCAACACGCCGATCGCGAGCTGCCGCTAGAAGAGCAGACTCCCGTCGGGGAGAGCAGAATCTTCAGCCGCTCCTACTCTTGCTGAGAATCCTTGCAGGCAGGGGCGGGTCTTTATTTAGCTGGGCCACCATGCGGCCAATCATATGCGAGGACACACTAGGATCATACCATTATGTGAATGAAGGGTGGGGGGCACAGCATGTGTAGTGGTACAGGCCAGCTGCACAGAGCGACGGGGAGACGGGGAGCCGGATTTAAATGCAAGCGCGTCGGAAAAAGTCAAGAAATGAGCGAAAACCGAAAAAAGAAGCAGCATCTGGCTGCTTTTCAATGATATTGGAGAAAGCAAAGCTGAGTGCAGGATTTGTAAAATGAAAATAACCTTTTTTGGTTACCTTTATTTTGGCAACCACTCAGGATTTACTGTCAGAGGTGGGAGAAGTTCAGATCTTGTACTTGAGTACAAAAGTACCAGAGTGTAGGAATACTCGGTTACAATAAAAAGTCCTGCATTCAAAATGTTACAAGTAAAAGTACAAAAGTATTAGCATCAAAATATAGTTAAAGTACCACCTGCAGAGGGATCTAGATGCAGGTGTTCTCTTCCCCATAGAGACCGCCTCGCTGCACATTATCCCTTGCATAGAGATAGATTGTGGGTCCCTATAACATGTTGTACACAGTGGAAATAAACATTCTGGTCACCTCAACATCAGGGATCTTATACATTAAACTCCTTCTGAATCAAACCGTCACGGTAGCCTTACCTTACTGTTCCCTCTTAAAATAGAAAAACACACGTTACTTTACCAGCAGAGAGAAAATGGATTATTAAATTATTAATGTGACTAATAAAGAGCAGTTTGATAATTAAGTATTATTCTGTTGATCGATGTCATTACATTTGGTGAAAAACACATAATGACTTGTTTATGACTCGTTTTGTCAAAGTTTAGGACTTGGACTTGACTTTAACTTGCCCATCCTGACTTGAGACTCGACTTGAACTTGAGCGCAAAGACTTGAGACTTGACTCAGACTTGAGCGCAAAGACTTGAGACTTGACTCGGACTTGAGCGCAAAGACTTGAGACTTGACTCGGACTTGCAAATCAATGACTTGGTCCACCTCTGTGTTAGTAAACAGTTGAATGCATGTGTGATTGGCCGTACTGCAGAGTGCTGCAGTCAGCAGGGCGGGGGTCACATGACCTAGCCAGCTGCCCTCAACAGGAAGTTACTAAGTTTTAAACCATGTTGACTCACTCAGAATGGACGTTGATGATAATACCAGACTTCCCCTATAGTAATTCTGTAGGTCAGGCTTTTATAACAGGTGAGCGGTGTCACCTTCATGTTTTCTCATGTGTTGATAATCAGGTTCATAATCTCATTATTTCCTTCTGCTCTGTCATTTTTAGCATTAATTTCAACCAGGATGCGTCTCTGATCTGTGTGTCCAGTGACCACGGCACCGTGCACATCTTTGCTGCAGAGGACCCCAAAAGGAACAAACAGTCCAGGTGAGTCTTTGCTGAAGGCTTTGAAATGTTTTCTGAGTGAACCGCCTACAGTGTCATAATGAATCCATCACTTCAGATGGGTTACGAATAATACAAAGGTTGTTATCAAAAAAGTAATCAAAGTCAACTTTATTGTCAATCTTTCAGTTTGACCAGAGATGGGGACTCGAGTCTGTGACTCGGACTCGAGTCGCACTTAAGTCGCACACACAGAGACTTCAGACTTGACTTGGACTCCTGCTCAAAAGACTTCGGACTCGACTTGGACTCGTGTTTTGGGACTCGTGAACAATCATTGTGTTTTCTATTTTTGGCGTATTAAAGGTGGGGTAGGTAAGTTTGAGAAACCGGCTCGAGATCGCTAGAATTTGAAAATACACAACCGGAGAAAATCTGCCACTTCCTTACAGAGCCCCTCCTCCAACACACACACGAACGCGCACATGACCAATGAGGGCACGAGATAAGTTTGTGCCCCGATGGAGGCTGACAGGCAGGTAGGCCATCCAGTTACTTTAGCCGGGCCGGCTATCGGGATGTTAAGAGCATTCCATGGAATATAACAAAAAGTGTATCTCGAGCCGGTTTCTCAAACTTACCTACCCCACCTTTAACTTTAACATTAACATCATGGTAACACCATGGCGACCGGCGGCACACCTGCAGCTGTACCGCTTGTAATTAGGTTCAACTATAAAAACTTCGAACAAAACGCCGGCGGCACCAACAAAATGAGCGCACACTGCAAAGTCTGCAATATTAAAATCAAGGATGCTGGTGCAACAACGTCAAATTTCATCAGGCACTTGAAAACTCACCCGGAGAGGTCAGTCACATTAACGCATATGGACGGTTAGCAAACATGTTTAGCTCAGCATCAGCTATGTAATGTTAACTTAGCTTGCTACTAGCTTTGTAACTGAATATTTGAAAAGATGAGTGAATGTTTGCTTGTCACACTTGTTTGCGTTGAGTGGCGTTGACATCCAACTCTTGACATGACATAAAAAAGGTCGGGAACGTTCATCATTACATTCCGCTGCCACCATCTACTGGCTAACGTTAAACGTAGAAAAATACATAGTTACATACATAAATACATCTGTCGGTTTATAGGCAGGTTACAGGTTTATTGTTGACCACGTAACGTTAATGTTACAGGTTTATCAGGTTACCATTACACTGGGTTTGAGTGAGAGGATAGAGGAATATGTTTATTTATAGTAGACTTAAAAGATGTCATTAGAGACCCAGTGTAATTAAACAATACGGTTGCAGAGGTCAAATTTTAACATTTTTGTCCACTGGCCAAATGGCTAGCCTAGTGAATGTTGAAATGTTACCAGCCACTCAATACATTGCCATTGTTATTTGTGGCTGGTGCGTGCAACATACAGTACCAGCCACTTGCATGATTTACCAGCATTTGGCTGGTAAATGGTGTTAATGGTAGATATCTCTTTTGGAACAGGTCATGTTTTAATATCACCAGTTCAGTATATTTCAGATAATATTGCAGCAATAGTTTTTTAGTTACAAATGGCACAGAACAAATGTTTACTTTTACGTACTTTTAACACAGTTTGCCTGCGGGGGATTAATAAAGTATTTGTGATACTGATTTCTGATTCTGAAGTGTTTTGCTTATAAGTTGTTTGCATTTAGCTAAAGTGTGATGTTTTTCCTCATATTGCATTGCAATAGCCTGTTTAAAGTGATCATATAACAAACAACTAATCAGTACTGATACTGTATGCTAATAGATATAGGAGTGATAATAATACAGTAAATGCTTTGAATGTCTTAGATATAGCTGTGCAGTATTCTTAACAGACTGGATAGCAGCAGACAATAGAAGGCTTGTTACAACCAGAAGAGACATGAGACTTTTATTTTTTAGAGACTTGAGACTTGACTTGGACTCGTGACCAAAGACTTGAGACTTGACTTGGACTTGCAAAAAAAGACTTGTGAACATCTCTGGTGTGTACAGACGGAGAGATCGAAATACTGTTTTCCACAATCCCGAATACAATAACATAGATATATAAAAATATATACAGTTTTTATGAAGGTAGATATGGTGCAAAATACGAGAGCGTGTAAAACCTGATGTGAGCACTTGCAGGAACAAAATCTGAGCTTGTGTGCATACATGTACACTATGTATCTGTGAACCAAATTTGAAGTCACAGTAAGAAAAAAAAAAGTTTTGTAGCTTGTAGAAAGAAAATGAACTTAGTGATGAAATGTTCACTTGCAAAAAAAATATATTTTTAAAATATATTTTCCATATATTTTGGTTATTACAACCTCTCAAATCAGTCATTACAACGTCACAAATCTGCTCTGTGGCAGTATAAATCGACGAATCTGCGGCTTTGATTTTTGCTACACTTCTTGCGATGAATGTGTCGCAAAAGTAATTTTCATACATACCTATGTATCAGGGTTTCCGCTAGGATTTTTTCTCGCCGGTCATATGTCCGGACAGAATTTATTTTACCGGACAAATTTGAAACTTACCGGTCATGTTTCAATAATAATAATAAGAGTTGTGTAGCAGAGTTTCCGTTAGCAGGTAATCACCGGACTCTGACCGGACATGCTGAAGTTTAAAACTCAGTTAATGGGAGTCATTTTTATATCGCTTCAGTTTCGTAACAGATCGAAAAATTCAGATTCATTTTTCAATAAATGATTCCACAAACAACAAACAACATAATTATTACATTCAAACAAACTACTTGTAGTAGATGAAGTACATTATTCAAAAGTTTACATCAACTTTGAATAATAACACGGGAGAAACGGATCCTCCCTCTCTCTCCTGACAGCACGTCAGTTTCTCATGCAGCTCGCTAAACAGTGGGCGGGGCTTCAGGTGATCATGCAGAGCTGCCTGTCTCAGTCAGACTCAGCAGCTGATCTCTGATCTCTCTCTCTCGGGTCCGGTTACACTTCACTCGCGTTTATGTCCATATCGATCAGATCCAGCTCTCCTGATCGGCCTTTATAGAGAGCACCGATCAAACAATTAAGAGTGAATATCGGCCGATAATGACCTGCGGCCGATAGATCGGAGCGTCCCTAATTATTACCAGACATTTTGACCGGCAGGTTTTGAATTTACCGGTTTTGAATACATTTTACCAGATATAAACCGGTAATTACCGGCTAACGGAAAACCTGGTATGTATATACATATACATACATATATATATATATTAGGGGTGTAACGGTTCACAAACATTTCGGTTCGGTACGTACCTCGGTTTTTAGGTCATGGTTCGATTCGGTACGTTTTCGGTACAGCAGAAAAAATTATCACAAAACATAAAATATATATATATATTTTTCAATTATTATTAAACTGTGAATAATGTATTCACTCAAATAAATACAAAATATAATAAAATAAACATTAAGGTGCAGCATTTCGATTAACTGAAATAATCTGTATTTGAACTTTACTCTACTAGTACTCACAAAACATGAACTATTAGTTTTGGGTTTTTAATTATTATTAAACTGAATATTCACTCAAATAAATACAAAATAAAATAAACATTAAGGTGTAGCATTTCGATGAACTGAAATAATCTGTATTTGAACTGTACTGTACTAGCACCTAAGCAGCCAGTTTGACATTATGACTTGCTTGTCATATTTTCATGTTTTTTTAAAGAGAAATTAACTTGTCCACATTGCTTGCCGAAAGGGCAGATCTGCTGGCACTAACAATGTCTCCTGCTGTGGAGAACACCCTCTCTCTAGGGACAGAGGTAGCAGATACAGCCAGGTAGCGCTTTGCTAACATGGCAACATAAGGATATGTGGCGTTTGTAATAGCTTTGGCTCGGTCTGAACTCTCTGCGAGTGGTGGAGGCTTAAATGCTAGCGGGAGTTGGGTTTGCACTTCAGTCTTTTTTCTTTTGGTACCGGTGATATTCACGTTCGGGTGATGCCTTTTCAAGAGTGTGCAAGTTTGATGTATTGCCAGCCGCGTAACCAATTTTAGTTGAACAATGCCGACAAACAGCTTTGGTTCGGTCCACCTGTCTTTGTCCGTCATCCTTGTACGTAGCTGAGAAACCAAAATGTTCCCAAACCGGAGACTTCAATGATGCTGGAGGATTTTCGAGATCAACTTTATCTACGTTCACCATTTCGACAATTCCTCAAATTACTGACTAAATTTGAACGCATCCCTGTGACCAGCTCTCATAGTATGCCTCTCGTCCAATGAAATGACTTGCTTGTGTTGAACCCAATGTGAGCAAATTACTCTGAATGCTGCGACGCAGCACCTGAGATTACTTCCAAAAAGTTGTTCACGTTCTCAATTTTTTACGTTTAACGTTATATTAGTTCGGTACACTTCGGTACACACGTGTACCGAACCGAAGGGCCCGTACCGAATAATTTCAGTACGTGTACCGTTACACCCCTAATATATATATATATATATATATATATATATATATATATATATATATATATAAAAGCACAACAATCCTACATATACATAATAACAGTCACTTCAATAACTTTGAGGACTTTGTCTGCGAACTTGTGTCCGGATTAATTGTGTGTCCTTTTCTCTGCAGTTTGGCCTCAGCCAGCTTTCTTCCCAAATACTTCAGCTCCAAGTGGAGCTTCTCCAAGTTCCAGGTGCCCTCAGGCTCCCCCTGTGTGTGTGCCTTTGGAACAGAGCCCAACGCTGTAATGGGTAAGTTCCCTCACACTCTGTGGGTGTCATTATGAGGAGAACTACTGCTGACATCACATTTCTGTACCATGAATTGTGTTTTATTTTTGAGATTTTAAGCCGTCCTTTCAAATCAAAGTAACATCACTAAAAAGAAGTAAGACAGGTCAAGGAAAAAAATCACATAGGCTGTAAACAAACCATGTTATCACGTGGTGTAAGAATGAGAATAAATAAGATAAAACCAGGGAATGAGTCAGCATTTTAGCACTTTGGTTTCCTCGTCTCAAAGTCAATGGATTTTGGAACATATTTTTGGCTAGATTTTCCCTTTTCTACTAAGATGTAAAATAAGTCAGTAAATAACCCACTGGTGAATGTCTGAAGCTTCTATGTGTCATAAAAACATACATACTTTGCTTGTATCCTATCATTAGCTTTTTACTTCTGGTGATTGCATTTACGCTTTAAAAATCATAAAGGGCTGTTAATATGTGAAGATTATCCAAAATGTGTAAGTATCATAAAAATGTCTTTGCCACTGATCTTACTTTCTGCAATATTCCAAAATCATGAAATAATCCCATTGCTTTTACTCGAGGGAGCCCTTGTGATGCTACCATCCGGGTCGTCCTACTATACATTATCACTGCAGCACTATTAACATGGGAAACTAAGAGAACCAGTCACATGATTATCACATGTATTGTTTTTGTTCAGCCTAACAGCATTCTGTACAGCTGTGTCAATATCACTCACATTTTTTACACATCAGGACGGGAACCTGCCTTGCCATGTGGGAAAATGCCATCAATGGGCACTACATTAACGTATAAAATCCAACCCTATATAATAATACATATCATGTGACTGAAGTGTATTCTGGTGAGGGGAAACTTAGTTGTTTCTGTTCTGGCAGTGAAGTAGCATCAGGACTCATTCAAGGTGTCTCCTCCAGAGTCCAACAGTCCAAAAAGCTGTGTACTGTACTGCTCTTTGTGTCCCTGTAGTACTCTAATAAACCCTCCTCTTGCTGACTGAGTGTATTCTGCTCTTGCTTCTCTCTTCCACTCTGCAGCCATTTGTGCTGACGGCAGCTACTACAAGTTCCTGTTCAACCAGAAAGGGGAGTGTTCTAGAGACGTGTACGCCCAGTTCCTGGAGATGACCGATGAGAAAATATGACTTTTGACCCCTCTGGAGACTTGCTGCATCACAGGCAGATTTTATTTTTTCTGTACTTATTTTATTTTGGAGGGAAGGTCCCATGATGCACTTATCTTTACAGACTCTGTTAAAGAGCATCCGTTGAAGAGAGGAACAAAGACTGGGGAAGCTGATCAGATGGATGAAGACTTTTGTTTTTCTCAGACTCCTGAAGATTGTCTCTGGACAGGGGACACAGAGGGACACAGAGGGTTGTCTCTGGACAGAGGGACACAGAGGGTTGTCTCGGATGCAGACTTGACTCCCAAACCAAACACTAAAGAAGAGTGAAAGGTATTTTTTGAATATAAAACATGCAGCTTTTTAAGACGTCTTCCGAGGAATTTCCAAAGGATGGTTATTCTTAAGATATGATGACTCTGGTAGTTCCATGGATTGAAAATATTGAGATTTTGTTTCAATGTACCACCTAACCTAACTATAGGGAGTGCCTCAGACTGGAGAGAAGCTGTATGTGTGCACATATTGTCTTTGTCATCTATACTTGTTTGTGTATGTACCACATTAGGTGTTCACATCTGAATCAGAATGCAGTTGCATCGGAACACACTGATTCTGGATTGTAAGTGTCACCTTAGTATTAATAGATTTTCTTAAATTCACTGTATAAACACAAAGCACCAGACTGAACTTCTAACTCAATAGAACTGTACAGAATAGAAGCAAAAACATTTTGTTTCCGTCGTCCTTTTTTTCATACATTTTGCAATGTGTTCCCCAAATGCTTTTTGTGAAGAGCTTGTGACAGGATGTGACCCGGAAGATTAAAAAATAGTTTGACATTTATTACCTAATGCAATAATGTGCTTTCTTACTGAGAGATGAAGATATTGGTGTAGATCTTAACTCACTGTGAGAAAAGCAAATAATATGCATTTGGCAAACAATGTCAAACTATTTCTAAGCACATTTCCTGAACCATTGAACTATTTCTTTTAGCGTTCGCTGTTCCTCGCTGAAACAGACTCGATCACAAAAAAAAACGTATGAGACTCTAACCTGATCAGCTATAAAATATAGACTCTGGTTAAAGACGGCACATCTTGTGTAATATTCATACGTTATAATGAAGTCAGAAGTCTGTGTTGGCCGGTCACAGCTGGAGTCCTGAGGCCTGTACTACGAAAGCCGGATTTTCGCTTAGCAAGCTAACTTCAGGGAAAACTCTGGGTTTCCGGTCCTACAAAGCTGGTTCACTTCTTAGCGGGCTAGATCTCCATGGTAACTTATACTGAACGGCTAACCAGGGGGGTATACTACGAATCTAGTTCAACCTATCCTGGATATGTTTTGAGTTATCCGGTTGACTTAATCCAAAACGAAGCCGCTCTCGCTAAACTGTCCTACAACGCTGGCTATCAACTCGTTCCAATAGAGTCTGGATGCAGACCGCAGCAAGGAGACGGATCCTAAAGGGGGCGTATCCTATAGGGGGCGTTTCCTAAAGGGTTATGAACCCCGGTCCCCGCCCCCCAAACATTTCTTAAAGGTATATGACGCTCTGTTTCTCATTTATTTTAATGCTTTGAATGAATCATAAACGAACTTTGAAAAATAATAATTATAATTAATTTGCATAAAGAATGAAGAGTATACAACCCACAGAGAAGACAAATTCATAAATTGTAGGCATATCATTTTTTACTGTTTGTGCAGTGGTAGTAATTATTATTCAAATCAATCAACTACGTTTTATGGAAAATATTGCTGTATATCATTTAACAACATGAGTAGAGGTTTCTGTACACCTAAAATACTGAAGTTGAAGTTACTGTCCTGTTGTGTATCATTCATTTGTTCATGTTGTGTCTGGTGGTAAGATTAATTAATTAACGTATTTATTATTTTTGAAACATTACAATACACATCAAATACTAAACATGAAATGTATAGTACATACCAATACATTGTACAAAGGAAAATATACAGTACATACAAAGAGGAAAGTCTTCATTAAACATAAACATTTTATTGGGTGTTCTAATTCAGCAACCACAAAATATGTGCCCAGATTTAATTATCTCTGACTTCATCAACCAAAAGATCAATTTTGATATTTAACATGACATACTCAGAAAGAAAAACACACTGCCTTATACAACTTTTGTTGGTCATCTTTGAATATCATCCAAGTTTTGTAGATGGACAATTTTGCTATTATTAGTATAAGGTTTACACTAGGCTATATATTTCACTATGGGGTGTGTTAAGACCCAGAATGATATTTGGCTATTTCTGTGTAAATTTCACTTTGAACAGAGACAAGATAAGGGCAGCAACTTGAGTTGACTGCTAAAGTTTCAAATGTTCTCTTTAGTTCAGTTTCCATTGTCGCATAAGACTGATCCAGATCCTGAATGTTTTCCTATCTGACCATGGCTGTCCTCTGTCTCCTGCTATCTGTATATTTTGCGCAGTCTATCTCTGCTCACGCTGTTGCGTCGGTGTGTTCTCCTGCGTCTTGGCCATGTGTCGCACTGGAACCAGACACCGCAAAGACTTCAGCCGAGCACGTACGAACTGCGCATGCGTGAGTGGCAATAACTCTCCTTACCAGCAGGCGGCGGTAGTGTGTATTCATCATTCAAAACAGGCAACAACCGGAAAACAGAGAAGAAGAACAGACTACGTGATATAAACAAACAACAAATAGCTGTGCGTTAGCTTCACCTTAGCATGTGTTCTTTGCAGGTGTTTGTTGAGGTTTTATTATGACTGATTTTAGTAAGTAACGAAGTAACGCGTGTCGGGGCAATGTTAGTAACTGTAGTGTGATTACTGAATTATAAAAGTAGCGCGTTACACTACTCCGTTACCGACAAAAGTAATATTATTACAGTAACGTGTTACACCCAACTCTGAACATAAGTATGATTAAAACGAGCTACGCCATTACCCTCTCAACAACAAATACATTATTATTATTAACCGACAGAACAGACGTGACTAGGAACTCTCAAGTAAACACGTGTTTAGTTTAAATAAAGCCTCTCATTTTTGGTATAGAGCAGTGTTTCTCAAACTTTTTCATACCAAGGACCACTTAACCAATTAAAAAACATTCGCGGACCACCTAACTCCACAAATATCCAAACACATCGTTTTTCTAGAACAGATTACAAATCGCCTGAAAATGGTACAAACAAGTGGAAACATGTGTGACGAAGGTGTTGCGCTGGGCTATATCATGCAATTGAAAGTTAAACTTAAGCTCGCTCCATTGCGGAGATATTCCCGCGAGAATGCGGAAAACTTAAATAGATTAATTTATTTCAAATGTGAAATTTTACCAATATACTCACGGACCACTAGGGGGCGCTCACGGACCACCAGTGGTCCGCGGACCACACTTTGAGAAGCACTGGTATAGAGCTTTGAAATAGGGCTTTGAATTTGAAACATTAAGGCTTCTACACAATTTCTGAACACACATGGCAGCAGTTAATGCAGAAAAAAAAGAAATGGCACAGTAAAGCTGAGAGTCATTCACATCCCTAGAATGCGTGGGGGGCGGGGTTCATAACCCTTTAGGAAACGCCCCCTATAGGATCCGCCCCCTTTAGGATCCGCCTCCTTGCTGCGGTCTGCATCCAGACCAAGCTGCAAACTGGGGAACAGCCGGGAAGCCAATACGGAAGTGCCACACACTGCAGTTCATACATGGGCCGCTAGGGACTGGCTGCAGAAAGGAGCAATTTCCATAGACCCCCATGTTAAAATGTCCAACTTTACAGCAGAAAAAAATATGTTTCTACCCATGGATGCAATAAATATTATTATCGGTATAGTTAGATTCCACCTTCATGATTATGAATCTGTGAGTGAATTGTTTTCTAACACGACCCTTTTATTTATATTAGGTCTTAAAGTTGTTGCATAAATTAGGGCGTGGTCACGTTGATGGACACGTACATGCCTCACTGTCAGCTAACAGCAACTTGTCCACTCTGCTAGGCTACAACCATAGAGGCTACAACGTTAGTTAGTCATAGTACTGTACTTGACCCTTTAGCTTTAGCCGTGTTCGTGGTGATTGTGCCTTTTTAGGGAACATCGTTACAAATACCAGACAATTAAAATGTCGTGCTGTGCGCTTGAATGTACTAACAGAACTTCCAAGAAGTCTAAAATGATAATATTATACATGTTAACCCCGTTCACAGGTGTTTGTGTGCTTGGTAGCTTAGCTTGCTACTTATTAGCCAGCTAAGGACGTAACCCTTTATGCATACATATACATTTTAGTTTATGATTCAGCCTTGGGTAAGACTTTTATAGTCTATGGCTATGACGCCCATAATGCTAAACGGGAGCAAATGTTAATAGGGGACCCAATTATCCCAGTGGTGGCCGCAGGACCTAACGGAGCCGCAGGGGGCTAGCTCCAGCCGGCGTCCCGGAGCTAGCCCACTGCGGCTCCGTTAGGTCCGGGCGGTGGAGTCCGTCTTTTCTCAACGTGTGAATGACGAGCATTAAGAATAACAAAATATAGCTAATTCTCTTGCAGATTGTCTCATTTGATTATGAATGTAACGTTTATATAGGGGAACTACACTGTTAGCAGTAACATGGTATGCATGTATTTCATGTTAGCTTAGCTTCTTAGCCTGAGCTAGCTCTGTTTACTTCCAGTTCGGAGGCAGCAGGTCCCGCCTCGGCTCCGCCTCTTTGCCCTTATTTGGAGCAGGCGGGATTAGACTCTGACGTCACAGTCGAGCCGTTAGTGGCCGACTCCGCCTACTAAGGGCTTCACGGCAAATCTGCAGAATCCTATGGGTGACGTCACAGACACTACGTCCATTTATATATACAGTCTATGATCCAGACCCATCTCACTTGTTCGCTCAAGCCAGCCGTGTCCTATCTAGTTAAGTGCGTGTTCACATGAAAGGGGTGGTATCTGGAGCATTCGACCAATCACAAACATGGAGAAGCGTACTGACAGCGCAGCGTCATACTTCCTGAATGAAAAGTGAAATTAAACTAATATTAGTCAAATATGAAGAAGTTAAACTTTAAACATCCATGACTTAAACTCTTTATCCAGGATCAAAGCCACATCTTGCTAAACGAAAATCCTGCTTCGTAGTATACCCCCCAGGGGCCTATAGGCCTACTACGAATCAAGATTTTCGTTTAGCAAGCTAACTTCTGGGGTTTCCAGTCCTAGGAAGCTGGTTCACTTTTTAGCGGGCTAGATAACTTATTCTGCGCCGGAGCAGGATAGGTTCCAGGATAAGAGATCAACTGTGCGGAGTTCTTCTTCTTCTTTGCTTTAATGGCGAATCGCTTCCACTTGGAGCATATCGCCACTATACTGTTGATTTATTTAATGTATAAAATGCCAATATTGTTAATGTAGAACAGTGTTCACGTAAGCCTGCACATTGATTTTATTTTCCATTGAATGTAACCGTTTCAATAAGGATACATCTATTACAGGTTGAGGTAGAAACAATGGTGGAACAGCTAACGACAGTGTGCAGAGTTTAAAGCAATCGAGTCATATTACAGGATAAAGGAAATACAGTTTAAACTGCCGTTGCAGTTCAAATCACCGACTGTGTGAACGTGAACATGAATAGAATATCACCTCCATCTTCAGAGCAATCTGACTATTATAACATTAGCGTGAAGAAAGCTTACTTAAATATCTGCCACAAAATTCGCTTAACATAAGTAACCGGATCAAAGTAACATTACGTTGCTGCCTACAGTCCGCGGCACTGAGTGCAGACGTCGATGTGTCCCATTATCATTCATATCACATCATAATGTATCATATATTTCCTTATGAGTCAGCTGAGCCGTATCTGGCCGTGCAACACTCAGTGTCACATACTGTATGCAGAAGTATTATTTTAAGCAACACATTAAGTTGAGGAAACACTGGAGTCAAATGTAATTAAAGTCAGATGGTGTCTTAGACGGGGCAGTGATATCATAAACCTGTTAATGTACGCATTCAAACACTTTTTCTTTTACCAGCTGTATTCACCTCGCAGGTGCAGACTATGTGGCTTTGATCCTGGATAAAGTGTTTAAGTCATGGATGTTTAAAGTTTAACTTCTTCATATTTGACTAGTATTAAAGTTGACTTTTCATTCAGGAAGTATGACGCTGCGCTGTCAGTATGCTTCTCCATGTTTGTGATTGGTCGAATGCTCCAAATACCACCTGTTAATGTAGGACACGGCTGGCTTGAGCGATCGAGTTGATAGCCATTAGCCAGTGTCGTAGGACAGTTTCGTACTACATACTGTAGCGACCCTGTATAGGATGCTGAGGGTGTCACTCAGGCATCCCCCGTCTCTCTGCCAATCATAGAGCTGCACAGTGATGCTGGTTGGGGTGCGGGCCTGTGGTTGGGGGAGCAGATGGGGGAGGGCGGGAAGTTGTGACGTAGACACTGTTATATATATAGGGAGGCCTGTGGTGCAGTGGGTTGTGAGTTGGTATTCGGATCAGGAGGTCACAGGTTCAAACCCCACTGCAGTCAGCATGTCGTTGTGTCCCTGGGCAAGACACTTCACCCCAAATTGCTCCTGTGGGGATTGCCCACAGTATTGAGTATGTAAGTCGCTTTGGATAAAAGCGTCAAACAAGTGACATGTAATGTAATGTAATATATGGGTATGTGTAGGAGTTAGTGTTAGTGTGAGGTTGAACCCACAAGCTGTTCCTGAACCTGTGATCATCTGTAAAGAAGAAGAGTTATTAAAGCCTAATAACTAGCAGCCTGTTTCCGACTCCCTTTGTGATCGTTACAATACGTAGTATAGGCCCCAGTACGAATGCCGGTTCAACATATCCTGGATATGTTTTGAGTTATCCGGTTGACTTAATCCAAAACAAAGCCGCTCTCGCTAAACTGTACTACGACGCTGGCTATCAACTCGATCGCTCAAGCCAGCCGTTTCCTATCTAGTTAGGTGCGCGTTCACATGAAAGGGGTGGTATCTGGAGCATTCGACCAATCACAGACATGGAGAAGCGTACTGACAGCGCAGCGTCATACTTCCTGAATGAAAAGTCAACTATAATATTAGACATATGAAGAAGTTAAACTTTAAACATCCATGACTTAAACACTTGATCCAGGATCAAAGCCACATAGCTGCACCTGCAAGGTGAATACAGCTGGTAACAGAACAAGTGTTTGAATGCATACATTAACAGGTTTATGATATCACTCCCCCGTCTAAGACACGATCTGACTTTCATTACATTTGACTCCAGTGTTTCGTCAACTTAATGTGTTGCTTAAAATAATACTTCTGCATACAGTATGTGACACTGTGAGTGTTGCACGGCCAGATACGGCTCAGCTGACTCAGATAAGGAAATATATCTTTGATCCTGGATAAAGTGTTTAAGTCATGGATGTTTAAAGTTTAACTTCTTCATATTTGTCTAATATTATAGTTGACTTTTCATTCAGGAAGTATGACGCTGCGCTGTCAGTGCGCTTCTCCATGTTTGTGATTGGTCAAGTGTTGCTAACCCCGCCCCTTTCATGTGAATGTGCACTCGGCGGACAGAGGAACCCTGGCTTGAGTTAACGAGTTGATAACCAGCATCGTAGGAGCGCTTAGCGAGAGCGCGTTTATTTTGGATTAGGTCAACCGGGTAACTCAAACATATCCAGGGTCAGTTGAACCGGCTTCGTAGTACAGGCCTCTGGTCCCTCTGGTGTCCTCTAAACTGCTTCAGCAAGCTGAGGCCACACACACGTTCATCTGCTGCTCTTCAGGGACTCAGCAGGGCTTTGTCCAAGTGTCGCCATAAACCGGAGGCAGATTGGATCTACCACAAGGACACTTGTCAGAAGTGGAACTATGTAAATGAATAATAGAATATTACCTTTTTTTATTTGTCATGTTGATGACAGCATCTTTGTTGATTCAGTGTAAGAACACTGAGTTGCTTCCTGCATCAGATTGTCCATCATCCATGTGGCTCTGCTGAACACAGCAGGAGGCCGCACAAACTGAAACGCCAACTTGTGTCTGACACTCAGAATGATTGTAAAACCTGCATTTAAATTGGTGAATAAATGTAAAATCTGCTTTACAGTTAAACATCTTGGGCTGCTTCATGCCTTTGATACAAGTGTAGTGTGCCTGTTGAACTGAAACTGAACAATTTGACTGCTCATTCAATGTTTAGCGCACCACGAATATTTTGAAGGTTTTCCAACAGAAATGGATTATTTGTGTTTGCTACAGCAATATACCTGTTCTGTCAATCACTGGTTCTCCTTTGAGAAATGAAAATCAGAATTGAAATTCACGTTTGGTTCCTTTATAGTTCCCCCTAGCATAAGACACCAAAAAACCCACATTAGATAAAAACCCCCCATCTTACTCACAGACATGAACACACCAGAGGACAGCTAGAAACATGACTGGGCATTCCTGACATTTCACCAAAGACCAAAACTATTAGTTTTTTTTTTTATATACATGAATTTTGACTTAAAAAAACCTTTTTTTTTTTCAATTGGATTGTAAAAAACAAGATATCTAAGCTGTTTTTTGTAACCCCAGGTACGAATGGAATATTTGATTTTTTACAATTGTTCCACTGTGAGGTCAGAACTGAAGTTATTTGCGTCACACTTTGGTTTGCCCTTATGAAAAAGGGAGCCTCCTTACGGATTGTGTACATTTGAATGGTGTAATGGCTTCCAGGCTCTATACTGTATGTATAAATAAGTGACATCTATTCAGAGTGAAATATGGATGCACTGATCTCATACACTGGCTTAGTCTCGGCCCCCTGATCAGTGTCTGCCATGACAGTAGGCGCTAAACACACTTTCAGTGTGTGTGTGGCCTCATGTTCTGTGTGCATGGATACACAGCCCTGTGTTGGATCAGTAACAGCAGATAGCCTGAGCTGTGTGTGTAAGACAGCATGTATAACACCAGGTCGTATTACACATAGGAATAAAACCAGATTACCTCTGGAAGCTGGTAATAGACGTAGGAACCGTTAGACGTATAAACTCCAGTTCTGGACAGAACTGAGCTCAGCTGGTAAACGTCTGATCATCTTTCTTCATTCTCAGAGAAAACAATTGGTCATACAGACAAACTGGCAGTACGTATCAGTGAAGGCTTTTACTCAAAGAAATACAAACTGGGAGGTTATGTGTTTTTAAATACATTTATAAAAAAAGCATTTACCCACTGAAGCAGAATGAACACCCATCACTTTTTTCCTTGTGTAACATAGATCTGAAGAGACTGTTTCATAGCCTGAAGAGAATCAAAGAATCAAGCTTCAAAACAAAAGGTACCACAGCCCATGATGAGGGAAGGATGAAAGAGGGTCAGGTGCAGCACTGGTCAGGATCATTAGTGTAGATTCAGTCTAACTCTTCTCAGTTCCATATTCAGATGATCTGATCAAGAACATTGTCTCTAGATCAGAACATGCAAGCTTGATGAAGCATATGGTCAAATACGTACGGGTACATACTTCTTATCTCAGGATATTTGTAAAATATGAAAAGTCTGTAGATGTACAGTGATGAAAGGAATTTAATTTGCATGAATGAGCAGAAAAAAAACATCCACTCCATAGATAGTGTTTTCTTTAAAAGGGAGACTACATTCATTGCACTGAACAAAGAGTCCACATACATAACAACGTTTTGATGTGTAAAGTCCTTATAGAGCCCACTTATAGCTTTTCATGATCTTATTTATTACTAGACAGTATCTGTGCCCGGGGAGATACACTGGTGCAACGGAATACTGCATATCTACTCACAACTGGGGAGGGAGGTCCACATGGGGCTTCCTGCCTCCCCTCACAGTGAAGCTGTAGCAGCGGTAGCTCTTCACACGGCCACGTCGCTTTTGATCTGGAAATCTGGATATCTTTTTGCCATCTGGCTCAGCTTCAGGGATTCAGTAATCAGCAACTCCTTCATTCCATTTTCAAATGTGGTCTTCAGTTTTTGCATCGTGTTTAAATATATAGGAGAGGTTGAACATTCTGTAGTCCTGCAGGTGTTTTCCACTCTTCTGTTTTTTTGCATCTGGAGTAGATGATGGAGGGTGGGGGGTTACAGGAGAGAGGGGTTCAGGATGCAGAGGGGGGGCTACTTGTCACTAAACTGTTCACTGACCACGCCCTCTCTGGCTCTGCCCGTGGTGCCGTTGTTGTAAGTGGCTGCTGCCCCCCCCTCCTCTTTTTTCGCCCTCTTTGTTTGGGTGGTGTCTTGAAGTTCGCTGTTCTGCCTCTTGGTGGGGAGGGACGTAGAGACGGAGGCGTGGGCCGCCAGGAGGTGGAGGGGGTTTGCAACGGCTGGAAGAGAGAAGAAGAAGAAGAAGGGGTAAACGACAGGTTAAGCCCCCCTCTCACAGCTCACAGTTGTTAAAGCTATGACCTCACATTTCTGGTTTTATGATATACTGCTTGAGCTACAGCTCCTTGAGCCAAGGACAGGGAAGACAGAAGACAGAGGGAGAGGACAGAGAAGACAGAAGACAGAGGGAGAGGACAGAGAAGACAGAGGGAGAGGACAGGGAAGACAGAGGGAGAGGACAGAGAAGACAGAGGGAGAGGACAGAGAAGACAGAGGGAGAGGACAGAGAAGGGAGAGGGAGAGGACAGAGAAGACAGAAGACAGAGGGAGAGGACAGAGAAGACAGAGGGAGAGGGAGAGGACAGAGAAGAGACAGAGGGAGAGGACAGAGAAGACAGAGGGAGAGGACAGAGAAGGGAGAGGGAGAGGACAGGGAAGACAGCGGGAGAGGACAGAGAAGACAGCGGGAGAGGACAAGGAAGACAGAAGACAGAGGGAGAGGACAGGTGAGGGAGAGGACAGGGAAGGGAGAGGGAGAGGGAGAGGACAGGGAAGACAGAGGCAGAGGGAGAGGACAGAGGGGAGGGAGAGGACAGGGAAGGGAGAGGGAGAGGGAGAGGACAGAGAAGACAGAAGACAGAGGGAGAGGACAGAGAAGACAGAGGGAGAGGACAGAGAAGACAGAGGGAGAGGACAGAGAAGACAGAAGACAGAGGGAGAGGACAGAGAAGACAGGGAAGACTAGGGTTGGGTACCGAGAACCGGTTCCGGTTCGGAACCGGTTCCAACATTTCGATTCCAACGGCCATTTAGAATGTG